GACCACTTTGGCTCGTGACAGGGACGAATGGAGACGTTACTGGCGCCCGCTCGAGGATTTCGATGATCAACGGGACGACAGGTGATACAGGTGATCATTTACGTCAAAGCTCATCCGACCGCCAATAGTTTGCGGCTCTCAACTAATGAAGTACCCGTGGAGGAAAGAAGGTCCAGTGATAACGACATCTGATAATGGTGGGCATGTGGTGCACACATTAGCGTGCGCAGCCCAGCTGGTATCGTCATAAGCGAGGAGCGCGGCGTGCCGAGATAGTATAACTATAAACGCCCAATTTTGTGCTTTTTTCGAACTTTTTGTATGATTCATCAATAACTAGAGATCACAGAAATTTTGGCGAAGTTGAGTACGAGGCTAGGCTGCAGAGGGGTTTGGCTATTTCCTGGACGCATCCATTATTTGGAACCAAAGTTGTTCATTTTCTTCCTACCCTCTCTTACTGTAATCTGTGACGAAGAATCGTCCTCCTTAGAATTTTGACGTTCAATTTTCTTTGAGCTCTGGTAGCGAGAAAATTACGTGCTCATGTTCACTGATATATTCTGTTCATCCTGCGGGAATTCGAATCCTTCTGAATGCACTTTTATTCACTTTTCCGATTAATTATCTTAGAATGAAGACGAATACCTGTCAATTACGATTTCCATGGAAACTCGGCCTCGTAGTGATGTTTCCTGGGAAGTTGAACGAAATATTTTATTTCCTGTTTATAAGCCTTCATTTCCGGTTGGAGGAGTGATGGACAGCACTTATCGATTTCTTTCCCGTCACTTACAGTCTACAAGTTCCATACCTAACAAATTTCGCTCCTTAGCAGAGCGGTTCTAGAGATTACCACAGGCTCAAAATCGATCGAATTTATCGATCATCAATTTCAAGACTCACATTTCGGAATTTTGCGTCCTTTTCGATTTGATTCTTTTCGCTATAGCTGAAGTTACTTCTATGTTACTGACTAATGAGTGGAGAGTCTTGGGAACTTATGGAAACCCCAGGCAACCTATATAGTATACCCAAATGCACGCTGACCAGCGCTTTCCTGGACTGAATCCCATCCTTACTACCCGAATAACTTTATAGTGATCTGAATTTTCGGATTTCAAGATTTGCAGAATTCCTTTCATTTCTCAGGGATCTCACATCTCGTACTGCTACTTTTAGCGCCTACACTACCCTAGTATTAACTGCTACTCAAATTGACTACTGATTCACTCGCTTTACGGCTGTATGCATGAACAGTAGCAAGATGATATGTCCGTGATGAGATGAGTGACGTATTTAATCTATGCCTGGCATTCGGATTCTGGGAAAGAATAGATTCCCACTTGCTAATGTATTCTGCGAACAAACACCGTGACGTCTCCAACAAGATTGACTTGTATTGAGAATAAAAGAGTGAATGTGGCTTTCAAGGGTTGCACATCGCCGCTTGTTTTCTTGCTTACTACTTTTTTGTTTACTTTTCTGTTCGTCTAGTTTACACAACGTGTGATGGGTGTCCAAGAAATTGTGTTATGACCAAGATGGTCGTAGATGCACAGAAAAAAATCAACAACAAATGAAATTTTCTGTGAAAGCCCACTCAGGCAGCGGTAGTAGTACGGNTTTGTTTACTTTTCTGTTCGTCTAGTTTACACAACGTGTGATGGGTGTCCAAGAAATTGTGTTATGACCAAGATGGTCGTAGATGCACAGAAAAAAAAAACGACAACAAATGAAATTTTCTGTGAAAGCCCACTCAGGCAGCGGTATTAGTACGGTGCAATGTCGAGGGTGTGGAAGAGGGCGATAGGAGGAAAGAGGAACTGGGCAGCGCTATGTTTTCATGACCGATACCTAGAAGTACTGTACAGCAGGAAAGTTACTTTTATTCCGCAAATAGCTTTTAATAGGTAATTTCGGATATAGAGTTGATTACAGCAAAATTTCAAGTTCACCAAATCATTTACCCGGTTGATCACTTTGGTACACTATGCGTACATATGGCTCTTCCATCCGAATGGTCACTGAATTTGCACCCATCCCGTAAAGCAATTTCTAGAGGCCAACTAGCAGTTGAGACAACGAATTTTCCTCCATTACTCAGTTATCTCATGACCTGCAGTCAATCTCTGTTCGATTGAAGTTTGGCTTGAACTTTCGACTGGATCCGTTGACTGCAGAAGTACTGTGGTGTCAGAGATCTATTTGAAACTAGATGGAGTTGAAGCCCAACCAAATAGGTATTGGACTGCAAGTATAATACAGTTTAATCGATCGTACGTTTAGATCTTATGTATAGCGAAAAAGTCGAATCGATGGTGTCTTCTGTAACCCTTCCGGTATTGCAATATGTGCTATTAGTGTCGTGTTGTTTACATTTTCTTAGACTTTTTTTTCTGACTCTCATGAATTCTTCGAAAACAGTTATAAAATTTATTAGTTCGACAATCACATTGCCCTCTGGTTTCTCATTTGAAGAATCCGCCTAAAAAGTTTTCTTCATGAAAATTGCGATCGGTTCCTTATATGTATGTATGGTTAGGAGCCCATAGGGCTATCTGAAAGTTTTCAGCTGTTATCATCGTCATCGTCGTCGTCATTATACTCGATGGCATCTGAAGACCTTCACCCGCTGGTGATCGATCGGCCGCTGTCACGTTCAGCTTCCGAAGCCAGTGCTGAAGACCTGACGACGTCTATTGAGATGGCCATGGCCACGGAATCACCCAGGTAAGCTGACGCTGCTTCAAAAAGCATTTTGATATTTAATAACCTTTGATAATATCTTTGTAATATAGCATAATTCGAATGATGAACTTAAGGTTATATGACTTTCATATCGCTACCCCATGGGACACCTTTGTCTCGGCGATAATTTTGCATTTTTTACCCAACATTTATTCCCCTAGAAATTTTTGTATACGGTATTTTTTTNTTTTTTTGATAATCTTTTGTTTGAGTCGGACGAGTTTCGCTCTACTCGTGAATGGAAAGCAAGGGATTGTCGACTCCGACGATTTGCCACCATCTGATCCAGAAGATTCGTTCGCCGTGCAAAAGTCCATTCGTCCTTCGATTATCGACCGGTAGGTCTCCAATCGATATCTTACTGGTATCATTTATTTTTACTTAATAATTGGGAATTTCTATCTTGTTATGCACGGCTTCGGTAATCCCTATCCTTGTTTTTCTGAACACAATACTTTACCTTTTTGTATAGTAGATATCATATGTTACCACCATTCATTTCAATTAGCAGAAACAGCGCGAACATCGAACAACAAGCGGTCATTGTTTCACGAATTTGGCAAGTCTGCCTGCCTTGCTATATATTTGTGGTTGAATCGACACAATGTTACCAGAACTTCTCCCTCTGGAGTAGTCAGCATAGGGATGGATTCGGTCGCTGTTGCCATAGGTATAGGGCGCTCACGAGGATTTTTCTTCAAATAGAGGAAATTGAATTGTAACTTTTATTATTCACGTACCTTTTATGGGTGCTGCGTATGTCAGGCCAAAATGACGAATCTAAACCTATTTTTGTATAACTTTGTACTCTTAATAGTTGAAGTAAGGCAGAATTGATTACGAATACACGAGAAAGGCGTGGGCTCTGGAGTTGACCGTTCTGGTAGAGAATGTGTTAATTCAAATGAATGCTCTTATACCTACTAATGACGGCGAACGGTCATTAAAATATTCTTTTCGATTTCGATGTAAAATATCTTTTTGTCAGGCTGCATCTGGATTTGGTCCGATTGCCGGAAACTGCACCAAATGGCTGTTTCGCTTCCGTCAGTTATACAGCCGATATGGAGCAGTTCGCTAATCAAAACCATACGTGAGCTTTTCTTCCTTAAAAAGCATCTTCTGAACTGCCAATTTACTATTATTAGCTATTATTCTTCATTATCACCAAGTATTACACCGTACAACTCGAATATTATCGCTATTTTTGCTATTACTGTTCAATTTTCGGTTTTCACTGATTGGCATTTGATAGATCAGTGTGATTACAATTATATAAATAAGAAAAATTATATAAAAACTTCCGTTAGAGACCGTGAAGCACGGCAGCACGGGGAACATTGGCGGAATTTGCCGGATTTCCTGTAAATCGTACCACACCTGTGGATCTTGGAAACATCCTGACGTCACCGATTTCACTAATCTTTGCTAGTTCAAAATAATTCAGATCAGCTTCTCTCTCTATATAAATATTGCGCCTTATTATTAGTTATTTTGGTCGAGTGGATAATTAAGAGACGGATTTATCGAGTGCTGAAGCGGAGTGCTCGGTCTCGTCTGCAGCAAATATTTCTCCTAACTTCCCATTATCTTTCTTTCGTCCACCTACTTTTTTCATTTTTTACGTCATTGCCGTAAATAATGCTTTTTGAAGTTTGCTACAGCTCGCCCTCATTTCGTTACACTCCTCGTTCCATTACACTTCAGCCCATCTCACTTTCACTTCGTTTTCTCAGTCATCCGGTTGCAATTTATTTTTTTATCATACTTCACCAGGGTATCATACCACTCACTACGTTAGCGGCTCATCTTCTATCGTTTGGAATGACTAATTAATAACTTTGGGAAGAGATAGGAGAGTATGAAGTATCGAAGTCCCTTCCGACGGTCTGTTTAGGAGAAGACCCGAAGTATAGCTTATTGAACTTCTTGTCAACAATTTCAGCTGAAATATAGTCTAATCTTTTATTAGCTGAATTGAGGGTCTGTACTTGTATTGTACGCAACAATTTAAGCCACACCCCTGACTTACTGATGCTATGAATACGTTTTAAAAGTATTTCCCCAAAATGTTGATTGTGTTCACGCATATCTCGAAGTATTCATTGGAAATCTCGTCACCTGTTTACTTTTTCTTAATTCCTTCTCGCTTCATCGCTTCGTTCCGCTTCATTATTCATATTTGGATCTTTGGTCCTTCTTTCGGTTACCTAAACTCCAACCTGAGACTTGAACTTCAATCGCTGTTCTATTCACTTGTAGAAACTTCTACCTCCGTTGTCAGGAGGCGAATCTGATCTCGAAGTAATGACAAGCTGACAATTCCCTTCAAGTTGCTATTTTTCCAAGGTTGCCGTTAAAATTCGCATATTATGCAAGGTTAACGCAATTGAATCCGAACAGTTTTCTCGAATGTACCTTCTTAGGATCAGTTCTTCAGGTCCGAGATTTTCCAACTGGCTTTCTGTCTGGTAAGCTAAAAAATGATGTATCCTAGGCATAGGAAAACCCTAATTAGTCCGAACATGTGCTAGCACAAATATTATGCGTTTATAAAGGAATGTTTGTTTTTTACCATGCTGAAGACCTACTGTAATCCGCTCAATATTGCTACTCATTCTTAAGAATCACTCGTCTCATTGACATAATTCTGCTTCTCTCAAATGCTGCCTACTTTACCAACTTACCAGCACCCCGATTTTTCACTTAGCCGGTTTTCTCATACTTTAGAAATTGGTTTTTCACTAAAAGTAGCTTTTTTACTTTTTTTGATGCAGCAATTTTCTTTTATGTCTGTGGAATGAAGAATACGTTTCTTCGGTTGGAACGAGGAGGAGAGCACATGTGTGTGGTAACTTCTCCCTGAAAATCGCATTCTTTCGCGCGCAATCGCGCGCTGTGGAGGGGAAGGTTTGAACTCCCAGTGGAAGGGGTTGTGTAGTAACCGCGGAACCACTGCCGGTTGCACTGGAAATTTAGGGAGTAGTAGTCATTTGGGGTAATGTACTGGTGTGTGCTTTCCACCTGAACGGGCTCGAAATCAGTCATATGAGAAGGGATTCGATCCTGAGATTAGTTGAGTAAATAACCGTTCCTCCCCGTTTTCCAGCCTGATTTATATAAATGTTACAAGAAGATAATTTTAACAGCTACTTTAAATAAGTAAAAATTTTTTAGATTGAGTCGCAGATCCACTGTTGGGTTAGAGCTCGATTATGTTGCCCCTTGAGTTGATAGTTCTGTGAATCTGGGTGTCATAGTATGTTCGTAAACCCTGAAGGAGCAGGTACTACGAAATGTTCTTTTTTCACTTTTTGGAGATAGTCCCTATTCATTGTAGTTCAGAAAGACTGCTTAAATGGTTCGACGTAGTCTTTGAGTGATAAAAAACTGAGCAGAGACTGGTAGGCCTCCTCGAATGTCACTCAAATCACCTGTCGTTCCATCATCGATTTCCAGAGGCGAGCTTCCGTGATATCTTCATCGCTTGGCTTCCTAACGAATCCTTTTGGGGTAAGGGGCTCTGAACCAATAGATCCAGCCAGCCTCTTAGATAAAAACAAGTTTTCATAATTTTTTGAATGCAATTTGGGGTCATGGCGCATTTCATAGTCGATAAAGCAGTAATTAATTGATTGATTTAACAAGTAAATAAATAAATGAAGAATAAGGTGTTAGTTGGTTCGCAGTGGCAAAATTATCATTAGTCTTATCATTTCCTCATTATCTTGATTAGTTTGGCTTTGGAAAGTGCTTTCCGAGTTCAGTACTTTGTCACATTTTCAGTGTTAACGCATTTGTCGATCCCTTTGAAGAAGAGGAACGTAGATCTCGTACGGAAATGTGGGTGGAGTCAACATCACCCGGTTATGCCAGTGACGATGATCCTAAAAAAGCATCAGTTGCAGAATCAGACGAGTCTGTACCGTTGCCCGAGGTATTCGAAACATTGGGATTTTCAATTGAGATTCCCTATAATTCTGCCTTTCACGAGTTCCCAATCACAGCAGCTGATTCCGATGGCTTCCCAGTTGATAATGAATTTTGAGATAAATTTCAATGATTGGCTCATACCTTCAAGTTTTTAATCTAATTTTTTTGATAAATTTCAAAGTCGCTTTTAGGTTAAGGTCTCGGCATGTTCCGAGAAAAGCGCGAGTGCTAGTCCACCTGGTAACACAACCACTTCGACAACGGGCGGTGATGAGGAACTGCCGACATCTGTCCAAATTCAGATTAATGACGAAATCTTTTCGAATTCGAGCGTAAGTGAAAACTCAAAGGGAGCCTTGCTTTGGGCCCCTTCTTAAATGCTTATGATATTTTTTTCAGAAGCCAAAAGGTGAGATGGATAGAATGGATTCATTAGCTACTTCGGAGAAAAGCGATCCAAACTCGCTGGTTAGCTCAGATCTGGACAAAGCGAGCCTCGTTAAATTTAGATTTAACTGCAATCTTCATCAAGCCAGAGAAGATGCAAAGAAAGAGGTCAGCTGTGAAAATTATCCTACAAAACTCGAAAATTGATTACGCCATGTATTTGAGTTGCATCTGGTGTAAGGGTTCCTGGAAATCGTTTCTGGCCGTAATCAGTCTGTGAAGGTGCTGGGTAGCCTCGGTTGAATTCCATCCATGCACCAGCCAGTTTTTGATCCTTTCCTTCACCAATATACCATCTCCACAGTATGAATTCAGTGTCTCAAAATGTCTTTAATGTTCAATGGATTCAGATGAAATAGCTTTTCACTGGGCCAGTACTGTTGTAGAAAACGATACCAAGCGCTAGGTCCTGTATCGAATCCTGAAATGAGCCCAACCAGACATTCCATCATTCTGGGATCACAGAATCCGATTCATGTCCATGGTTTTACAATAACGATAACACTGGAACGTATATCGGATAGCGCCATGCATTTGACTACCATTTGGAATCACAATGCCCTTTGGTTGCATTATAGACCCATTTAATACCGTAGCACATCATTCAATGGGCGTATTACACAAGCGAAAGGCGGCATGAATGACAGTCATGTGCATGGCGCATTCCGTAATAGTAATGGCCAATGCGAAGCTTATTCTTTCGACCTTATAATTTTTGTACATTTTTTAAAAGTTTTACAATCAAGTGCGATATAACAAAAGAATGTGTTCAGGTCGATATGGAGAACTTTGATCGATTCTGGCGTCATCTCTACAACAAATCCGAGCCGAGCAAGTCTGAAGAGTTCAAAAAGAAAGAACGCGAAGAGAAGCAGGAAGAACGTAAGACGACACGTCGTCGTGCTCGAACACCAACGCCATCAATCGAACGAGTGGTGCTCTACTACACGACGGACCGCCGGATATCGCTAACGCCAACGGCCTCGTCCATTTCGCCATCACCGGAGCCTAACTCGCAACGTTCTTTCACTTTCGACTCTGGCAGACACCTATTCATTCAGGCGAACAAACCATCGATGACTTCTCAAGATTCCGTGTCCTCAGAGCCATTAGGCGACAAGGTGTCACCGGTTGTCGCTCAGAAATCCCCTCTAGGCCGACAGGGCTCCACTTTGTCAGAACCGGCGCGTGGGAATTCGGTAGCCCCGACTACCCTTCGAAGGCTTCCACTAACTGAGCAGGATTCCATGTCCTCAGAGCCTATTGGAGATATTGTGATCCCCGTCGCTAATCGACCCCCAAGTGGCTCCAAACGCGTGAAATGCAAGGCTTTCGGTCGTGGCATTGTGATTGAAGAATCAGAAGAAACCTCATCGGACAAGATAGAGGAAGCGATTCTTGACTCGAAAGTTCGTTCTTTTCCACTTTGCTCAGGAATCTTGAATGCTGATGTTCTGGCTGTTTACCAAACAGCCAGAACATAAGCATTTAAGATTCCTGTCTTTTACAGAATATCTTACGTCTCAATTTGCTTCATATTCAGGAGGAAACAGAAACCTTTGCATCGAATATCGATACGGGAAATGGAGTTGATAGTCCATCGGAAGGCAACATATTTTTCAAACTGGACGAGCTGTCTGGGAGTGAATCAGAAGAGGGCCGAGTGGATGTGAGCCACGCATTCGGTGAGGAATTCCTTTCTGAATTCGGTCAATTTTATGGATGCCTTTTTNTTTTTCTGCTTTTCTTTTTCTGCCGTTATTCCAGTCACAGGGCCATCTATGGTGTAGTCGCGGTTCGGCCATACTTTACATATCCAGCTTGTTGAAGATGTTTCTATGGCTCACTTCCCTGTTCTGAACGGCAGATTTGGTAAATATCTTAGAGGAGCTCCGGCCTAGGCAGTCCACCTTCGTTTGACTCTGCTCCTACATTGTTGCGTAGGTAACCAAACAAGAATCCTGATACATAGAACACAGTCAGACGCTTGGGTACACGAGTGCCCAAATGATTGTTTGTAGAAAGAATGTTGATGAGAGTGGTGCGCTCCTGACAATCCCGACAACGAGTTGGATAGCCCGATGGCCTTACCGTGGTCTGAGTCAACAATGTGTTTCACGAGGCATTCACGGAATTGTGTCGACTTACATTTTTTTTGTAGAATACATAATTTCATGAAATGTGTGGCGTCTTCCTGGACGAAACTACCCATGAAAGAGTTCACCCTGTGGGTTACCACATGGTTACCTATTTGCTGGTAGTGGGAGATACTGCTTTATTGAATGCTTCTCAGTCGTGGCTCTGTTAGATGGGATGGGCATAATAATGGGACCCTACTGTGTATGGGCCTTGCCACGTTTTCCCAACCCTACTCCTTTAGCTTCTTTTTTCTTCTTTTCTTTTTTTTNTTTTTTTTCCCCCTCTTTCCTAACCTCCCACATCCCGTTTAGCTCTCTAACCTATATCGTGAAAAAGGATTTACCCTCGTCACGAAACTCGAGCGCATGGATGATTACATAAGACATCACAGATAGGGTGTTCGTGGTTGATATCATTCATCTATAAACAGTGGATATATGCTGCTAATCCCACGGTTTACGGTAGGTTTATCATGTACATCTCAGAGGGAAGTTCTCTGCCGTTTTGATCGCTTTATGAAAAAACTTCCTGGTGCTATTATGCAATAACAAGCGAACATATGTTTCTAAGTCGCTGACCCTAACAATCCACGATTTGAAGCTACTGCGCGTGCTCTTGTATGTCACGGCGATGTGCTTAGCACAACTAAAGGATGGATCTAATTGACATCATCCAACAAGATAGGTAAACAAGACACGCTTAGCTGGACGATCGGGTCGCGATCTGTAAATCTAAGCCGTTTTATCAGATAATTCCTTCTTCTAGAAACCAGTAAGTGGGTAATTGAGGGTTGTTTTTTATAAACGTCATACAATATATAACGTCATATAACGTCATGGTAAGGTAATCTCCCAGAAATTCGCAGTTTTCTTAACTCAAGACGGCTTAATAAACGATTAGCTTGAATTATGATGTGATAATAAAGATGCACGTGTTTACTTTAGTCGTCGAGAGAAGTTATGTGATCTGGCCATGTATGTCACGGCAATGTACCTGATCTGTGGTTATGGTTGGGGTATGGCACTGGGTGAATATGACGGAAAATTCTATCGATGTCAGCAACCTACGAGAGTTTCAAATGAAGCGCTCATAATGTCAAAGGAATGGGACCTGCTTCTCTTCATTTGTCTCTCATCCTAAGATAGGGGATAAAGCTCTCTGGGATGCGCACCCGCATTCGACCTTTACTTAAAATCGAGAGTGGAAAATGACCTGGACAATGAATTACGGTGGCCAGCCGGTGTAGAATCCTGCGAGCCGAGTATGGTAGCAATCGGTCGACTCACGAGGATGGATGGCTTAGTTGGTCTGGGCGAGTATTGATCCAGGATTGAATAGTCAATTCGGAGAGAAGCGGAAGCGCTCTTGACTTCCTCTGGAGAGAAAACTTGTCATGGCAGCTAGTAAATCTATTTCGTTTTGTGGAGTCCTGGAGGACGATCCATGCCATAGCAAAGCTATTTGTGTACGGCGGAAGTGTTGATACGTAAGGCGTGCGGGTAGGCTGGATCATGTCCTGTACGGATTCCCATGGAGATGCACTTAGCCCGTGACCACGACGTTTGGATCTAAAGCTGGTTAGCCGCTCATCGCTTATCCACGTCAATATTGCCTGGGAGCACTATCTAACCACATGCGTTATACGTATTTATATCCGTAATACGTCCCATACACGGCAGATTATCCCTTCGGGAGGAATTCTAGCTATAGATAGAATAAGCATATAGTGGCAGATTACTGTTTTCGGAAAGTGAATAACATTTCCGAACGACTGAAGATTAAGCGGAGCTGCTTGGATAATGAATTCGTGTTATTCTGTCAGAAGTACGTCATAAAAATGGAGATGATCCCTATGTGCAGTTCCGTCCGTTGGGATGACCACATCAGAAAGTGTGTCAAAAACGGGATTCTTGGCTGAGGACTACATCCCGGTAACAGGACTTCGGCGCAGTTTTTGAAAATCTGAAACGTCGATTAAATACGCCGAGTTATAGAAAAGAAGCTCAGTTTTACTAAAATACAAGAAAACTTTCCAAACACATCGGATAAATTTAACTGGCAGCAGTTATTGATTCAAGTGGACTGGACTTGATGCGTTCGGTGAGGAAATTCTCTTTTTCCAATAGATTTTTTTGTCGATTTGATATTCAGGGTTTGGAATCCTCAAGCTGAATATCGAAAATTAGAGTTTTGCGTATGTTCCGAGTGATCTCAAAAAGGTAAGGATCGGAGGGTTTAGATAAGGTCTGTATCTATTCACCCATTGACGACCGCGTGGCCCGCCGGCGGGCCACACCATACCATGCTCCTGTAGTATTTATATTATTTATCAAGTGTTCATA